ACAAGAAGACTGACCCAACTTGGCCACTTTTGGCCAGGACCCCAGGAGTGACTGGCTCCTACCAAAAGCCGTCTTTACAGCAGAATGCTGTTATGGACTGAATGATGGTGTGCCCCCAAAATTCATATGTTGAAATTCTGGTTCCCAAAGTGATGGTATCAGGAGGTAGGGCCTTTGGGAGGTAATCTGGTCATAAAGGTAAAGCCCACATAAATAGGACTAGCATTCTTATAAAAGAGACATGAGAGTTTGCTCTCTCTCTCTGCTCTTCAGCATGTGAGGACTTGAGAAGAAGGCCTCTGCAAACCGGGAAGAGGATTCTCACCAGAACATAAACTGCCAGCACCTTGATCTTGGACTTCCCAAGTTCCAGAACTGTGAGAAAGCATTCTCTCACTGCATCCATCACTTAAATATTTGTTATTTAAGCCACCCGGTCTATAGTAATTTGCTATAGCAGCCCGAGCTGACTAAGGCAGATGGTGGGGATTCTAGGAGTGGGAGGACCCAACCACACACATGAAAAGGAAGAACCTCCTTGATCTCAAACACAGTTTTGGCCCCATTGCCCAGCAGGGTGGAGCCATCTGCATGCAGCAGCTGTGCAGGGCCCTGCAGCATGTGACCTTGAGGCAGAGCTTCCAGGGTGCAGGCCCTGATGCTTCCTTTTCTTCCCCAGGAACATGCCCCTGAACTCTTGTTGCCCCACTGGCCCTGGGGCAAGTCCCCTGCTTCAAGATGTGGTGTGGCTAGGACACTGTACAATCCAGTTTTGAGATCTTTGTCATTATGGTGGCCCAAGTCTCCAAGAGCCGGTGGAGAGGAAGCTCTTGCTAATCTGGCAGTAGAAGTTTTCCTGGGTGCTGACGCTGGGAGGCGTTGGTAATGCTGGTAGCAGCTCTGTGCGGCTCTAATCTGGTTTACGCAAACCCAGTCATTTCTGGCCGCCCGCTAGGAGGGCTGGGAGGAGGGATTTGCTTTGATCTATTATCAAAGAAGATTTTGCATTTACATGGGAATGGCTAATGCAAAAAATATTGCTTTTTGGGAGAAACATGAACCAAACTATGCCCTAAATTCAGATATTTAAGATGATATTGTGGCATCTTGGAACACTCAGCATTAAACAAACAAACGTGAAACTCCCTGTTTCATTCTTCAAATAAAGACCAAATGAAGGGAAAGCAAAGCATCCAAGTGCTTGTGTAAGTTTCCTGCCTCTTTCCTTGTGCAAGGATCCTCCATGGCCCTGTGCTCTGATCCGGCCATGGCTGCCAGAAAGCAGGAGAATGCTTTCTCCCTCAAGGCCCCTGGCACAAGGCTCTGCACATGAGGCCTGGGGCTCAGAATCTTCCTTTCACAAAGAAGTTTCTTCCATATTCTGCTCCAGCCCAAGGGAATGAGATGGAGTCAGGAGACCAGGTCTGAAGCTAAGCGCTGCCTCTCACTAGCTGTAAGAGATTGGCTGAGTCTGGACTTCCTCATCTGTAATACGGGAATAATAGTATTTGACCTTCCCCACCTCACGGGACTTTTGTAAGAATCAAAAGGAGTGGTGTAGGGGCTGGCACCGTGGCCTAGTGGTTAAGTTCAGCACACTCCAATTCAGCGGCCTGGTTTTGGTTCCGGGGTGGGGACCTACATCATTCGTTGGCAACCATGCTGTGGCAGTGACCCACATACACAACAGAGGAAGACTGGCACAGATGTTAGCTCAGGGTGAATATTCCTCAAGCAAAAAAAAAAAGTAGTAGTGTAGGCAAAGGTTCTTAAAACAGTAAAGTATCATGTGCCTTGCAGGAGACATTTTTTGGTTTTGTCACTCAGCATCTTTTATGTCTCTTTCTAGTAACAGCATAATGTTTACGCTATAACGTAATTTCCTCTGGATAACCAACCTCATCCCACTATTAGTCCTCGGGCTATAGAGGGATTTGACCCTTCCCCCAGTCCCAGAAGCACGGGGGCAGGGAGGTGGAGGGGGTGAGGGGGGTGGCTAAGGCCTGACCAAGGAAAGCCTTGCAGCCTCCTCTTGTGGTGGATTGGTCCTGAGAATCCTCTCCAACTGCCCTGCACAGTATTGCAGGGCTGCACAGCTAAAAAGATACCTTTTCTAGACTCTTCTACAGGCAATGATCTGAATGCAAATTATTATCCAAAATTTTCCACTCAAACTCAATTTGGAAGCAGAAGTGCAGAAGAGACAGTTTCCCAGTGACTTCCACATTTTCTGTAGGCTCACACGCTCATGGAGAGTGTTCTCCTCAGCAGTGGTCCAACATCTGGTCAATCATGTCTTGGGTTTGAGAAGCAGGTTGGTGGCAATGACAGTGAAGCCATCAGCTTCCTGGCCTCCTGATCCCTGAATCACAAATATGACCTGTGGTCCTGAACTCAATTGTTCTGGTGGTGGCCTCCTGATTCCCCCAAGGTCCTGAGTGTTTCAGGAGTCATAGTTCTCCCTAGCAGGTCAGTTCTGCTGTATTCTTGGAGTCATTTCTGAAGATTCAACCTAGAACTCATTCCTCAGACTATCCAACAATTTTGTAAGCACCTGATACTGTAATTAAATGCTTCTCTGCTTTGAATGTCTAGAGTGGCTTCTGTATTCTACCAGTGAACCCCAACTGGTACAGATGAGATGGTTCCTTGGGACCCCACTTGGATCAAGGAGAGAGTCAGATCACAGAGTTTCATTCAGAGAGTTGAGAAATAGAGGCTAACTTTCTGATGGACTTGGAGGTTCCGAGAACAGAGCAGCTGGCAGCCATCTTGCCTTTATAAGAGAGCTTGTCTGAGAAAAATACCACATGAGGGGGCCAAGAAAGAGATGAGAGAGGCCCGATCTTGACAGCACTGGAGTAGTTAAATCAAGCAACATCTTGTGCCAAACCTACCCCTGGACTTTCCAGTTTCATGAGCCAGCAAATTCCTCCTTCTGTCTAAGACAGTTGGAGTTGGGCTAGTCCATCATTTGATGAAAACATAATTTATCAGGCATAATGATGATCACAGGAGAGTAACCACAGGTCAGCAGTGGTCGGATGGCCATAGATCACATATTCTCAACCAGCTGTCTGCGTCAGAATCGCCTGGGGGAGTTTCACAAGATAGAAGTGAACAGGTCTGGGCCTGGGCCTTCCAGATCCCAGGAAGGACACACGTGAGCAATTGGAAAATTCTGTCAGGTAAGGTGGTTCTCATGTGCACCTCTGGAGAACGTGGCTGCTATGGATCCACTCATGGGGAAGGGGAAGCAAATTGGTGGACACTCCTTGAACACACTTGAATGCTTAAATCCCAGTTTCAGGCATTAACATTATTTTTTACTTAATTTTGATTTTCTTCTTTTAGAGTTAAAAGACCTTTGCATTAAATCACTCAGTATTGTAACCAGCAGATGAGAATACTATTGAGAGAAATATTTCAGCCCAGATTGTGTAAGCCGAAGCAGCTGGGCCATTTTTAAAAAATTGTAATAAATAAGTGAATACATAATCATCCTTCAAGTGCCAGCTCTCTGTTCTGTGTGCTCCCAGAGCTGTGTTTTTTCATCTTTATTCCATGCCCCCGAAAAGAAAAGCAACGTAGGGAAAAATGTTGACAGATTGTTCTCTGTGACGTCAACTAACAGAAAAAGCTAAATGGTCGATGCTCATTCCAGAAGGCATTTCTCCTGTGGGTTTTGGTGGGTGCTGACTTGGAATAACCCTTCCTTTTCTGGAATAAATATTATAATAAGTATAAATATAAATAGTAAACATTAGCTATGCAGCTACCTGAGAAGAGAAAGCAAACGTTTTGATGTCTGCAGTGTATAAAAGACCTAACAGTGGTAGAAACAGGCTGTGGAATGGAGTGAACAAAATATTGATCTAGCATTTCTGAAGGGCCTGGCCAGGGTGTGAGTGGCTGAAGGTGAACCAGACATGCTTCACTGGGTCAAGAAATTTACAGTCTACGGAGAAACAGACTTGGTGAAAGAGCATAATCGTTTGATAGAGGATTTTATCTTTGGAATCAAACAAGAATTATTCAAAGGCAAATCTGAAGAATGAATTGGGTGATCAGATCAGCTGACTCTAAAGGATGACTCATAGGACGGCTCTGAAGCCAGTTCCCGAAGATGATTTCTGCAAATGTCGTGAGCATCTTGGAATGTGTGCGTAACCTCCTGAGGTACCACTTTGAAGGGGCAAATCATTCCATGTATAAGTGCTAGTTTGTTTTGTTTTTGTTTCCGTTTTTAGGAACATATATAGGCCAAAAAAAAAAAAAAACCACCACGTGATTAAATGCTGAGCTGATGGACTTTTTCTCTAAACTGAATTTCCCCAAGTCTTCCCTGGATGTGACTGTTAGGCCACATAAACGTTAGCAATAAGTTATACTGGCCCATTGTCTCTGCCTGGGCATCCCCTGAAGGCTCCCCTGGGTGTTGCTGGAGTCTCCTCTGTGTGAAAGAACAATCTCCTCTCTCAGGACCTTCTGCCTGGCTCCCTCACTGCTGACTGCTGCCCACGAAGCCTCTCATGAGCGCTTTAGACCTCTGAGAACACGGCCTTCCTCCTTGAGCCTCTATATGCCCTACAGACATGGGGTGATGGACCTTCCTCCAACTCTGTGTTGTATTTCATCCTCCGGATCTGGGCCTCCAAAGTCCCCATTACAAGCAGCTCATTGACCTGCCTGCAGCTTCTTTCTAACCCCACCCCCTCATCCACAGGGCAGGGGCACAGACAGCACGACTTCCTGCTCTATCTCTCCTCCCCACCAGGCTCTGGATTGAAGTCCATGTCACCTCCTCTCTTTATGCAAACAGATCGCTGAGTAGCTCCCTCGCAGCTCACGACTCCACCCAACGGTGAGTCCCCCATCAGGTTCAGCTACTTCTAAAACAAAGATCAGGCAAGGGTCTTGAGAACTTAGATTCTTCTTGTCATTTCTCTTGGTTTCTAACACAGCTGACTTTGGGCCAAAGCTTACATTTAATTAATAGAATGGGATACGGGAAGAGGCTGCTGCTCTCCATTAAAGGGGAAGTGACTTGTCTGCAAATAACTGTACAACTGAGACACACCTCACAGACTCCAGGGGGCAGGGATGTTCAACAACTCAGCGAGGCGGGTGGAACAAAGGTACGACACGCACTGTTTACAAGGGTTTCTTTAGGGAGTTACATCGTGGGGGATGCTCACATGCTGCTTTATAAAGGCTGTAGTGTTTTAATTCTTTTCCAAAAAAAAGTCTTTCCCTTGTAGTGTCATGGGAGAATTAAACAAGGCTTCAAATGTGAGGGGCCAAGCCCCTCTTCCTCAGCGCCCAACCCCCTTCCCCCCAAAACTTCCTAGAACTGTCCATTTTATTTGAATATTTGAAGAAAATAATATATTTACATTAAAACAAGTGTAAATATATTATGGAGTAAGATATAAAAATTCACATGAATTTTTAAGATAGAACAAGAGACTTAAAAGAAATTTCATCTCTCCTACTCCGGGGCATGCATTCACTCTTGTTAGGGATACTTCAGCAGAAAAATTGGAGAAGTTCTGATGTGGGCCCCAGGGAGGCCTCGAAAGCTCCCTCGCTGAGGACTGACAGGATCGGCTTATGTGTTAGAGAGACCACTCAGAAGGCAGTGTGGTGAGGTGGAAGGAACAGAGGTGAGGTTCTTGAACTCAGCCCCCTGTGTAATAATTGTACCTCAGGTTGCCTCTTGAATCCAGAGCTTTCTGTGTGCTAGGGGAATGCACACGCATTTCTCTTCAGGAACACAACAAGCACTATGTTATCAGAGGACAGCGAGCCTCACAGAGGTGAGGAGCACTCAGTCACACGGCCCAAAGCCAAATTATGCCTACTGAATCTCGCCACCCCCCTGCCTGGAGCCTTCTGACAAACTGCCCCATGCTTGCCACCTCTGGCCTTCCCCAGCTCCAATATGACAGGCTCTCAGAGTCCCTGTGGCCAGGCTCCCCTGTAGGCCATGATGCCTTAGCCACCTGGCTGTGTCCAGAAACCTGCTACTAAGCTCTTTAGCCTTCGGCTGCCCCACCCTGGCCCTCACTCCCACTCCACTCCCATCAGTGGCCCATTTCCTGACAGAACAGTCTCAACCATTCCACATCTGACTCCAGGAGAAAGTGACTCCATGATTTTTCCAGAGGGACACATGGCAATGAGTTTCTAGCGGTTGTAACAGACTGAAGAGAGGGGGATGTTCTATGCCCAGAGTAGAGAGGAGGCTCACGTAACCCTGAAAGAAGGCCTGACAGCCTTGTGTGGAGGGGGGAGGGGTGCACGCCTGCCCCCGAGGTCACATCTCCTTTCAGGAAGTTGAGCTGCTCCAGATGCCTGCGTCTCAGGGAGAGGAACCACATTTCACCACATGATCCCCACTCACTGGGCATCATAGCTGCGGCTTCTCCCACCAGACCTCTCCCTGCAGCCCAGGAGAGAGCTCTGACTTGGGGACTTTAAAGACTTCTACTTATCACCAAGGAAGCAGGAGGAGGACCAGGACACTCTCTCCCCTGGTGCCGACTGTGGGCGAACAGGAAATGGCTCCAGCCTTTCTTCCTCTCAGCCTTTGCTTTCTCTTTCAAGTCTGTAGCCTGTATCTTTGAGTCACACAAAACATTTTAGAACAAACAGTAAGAAATAAGTCTACTTGCAAGGGGAATGTCCTGAATTCTAATAAGCCGTTTTTTCTCTGTAAGGCAACAGCATTGCTTCCAGGTTCCAAACTGGACTCTGATTTGTCTCTGTCTGTTTCTTTCCATGCTCTGTCCTCTCGAGTGGGAACTTGGCAGGTGTGAAGCTTCGTGGATGCTTACGAGGTCGAATAGAGTCTCAAGGGGTACTAGGGGCTGCACTTCCGGGAGGCCTCAGCAGTAGCTACACCTGACAGACAGCCAACCAATATTTATTTACTAATTGTTGATTATGTGCCAGGCACTGTGATTGGTGTTTGGGATGGAATGTGGAGCAATGTGGACAAAATCTCTACCCCTGCGAAGCTTAAAATCTAATGGGGAAGAAAGATATTAAGCAAAATTTCCAGTTACACTGAATATTAAGAAGGGGAAGGGCAAGATACTGTTGGCACATGTGAAGAGGGTGTAACTTGGCTGGGGGCAGGAGAGAGAGTAAGAAAACTTCCATCTAAGGAAGTGACATTTAATATAAGACCTACAGGAGTGGGCTATGAGAAAACGAGGAGGAGAGATGGCGAGCAGACAGCTCCAAACCGAGGGATCAGCTCATATGGAAAGCCCTAGAGTGGCTAGAATGGGTGTCTTTAAAGAATTCAAGACGTCCAGGGTTCTAGAGTGGAGAGGACAGGGAGAGAGTGGAGGGGAGGTAGGCAGAGGCATGGAGAACAGGGTTGGCAGTGGGCAGCAATTGACAGGTTCTAGAAAAGGAAAAGACATCATCAGATTTGCATTTCTAAGGGATCACTCTGGCTGTTGTGGGGTGGGTGGAGCTGGAAAGGGGCAGGAATGGGTTCAGAGAGACCGTTGGACTTTCGCAATCATCGGGTGAGAGATGGTTACAATTTGCATGGGGGTGGAGACAGAGAAAGTGGAAAGGGGAGAATGAATCAACTGAGGAGCGATGGGTGAAAAGTTGGGGCTTGAGGGGCTGGCCCTGTGGCCGAGTGGTTGAGTTCGCGCGCTCCACTGCAGGCGGCCCAGTGTTTCGTTGGTTCGAATCCTGGGCGCGGACATGGCACTGCTCATCGAGCCGCGCTGAGGCGGCGTCCCACATGCCACAACTAGAAAGACCCACAATGAAGAATATACAACTATGTACTGGGGGCCTTTGGGGAGAAAAAGTAAAAAAATAAAATCTTTAAAAAAAAAAAGTTGGGGCTTGAATGCATGCAAGGGATGTGGGAGAGAGGAGAGTCCAGGATGACCCCTGCTCTGAGGTTTCCCACAGTTAGATGTTAATTGCTTCCTGAAATGTTCAACACCAGCTTTCACTGGCAACCTAAGGAGATGCTCTCTGATTTATGAAGGACCTTAGGCTCCATTGAAGTGTGCCATCCACTGGATTTCAAGTCCGTGTAAAAAGGATGAGAGAAGTGAGACCCTAGAATGAGGGAGAAGACCAGCAATTCCATCTCTAATGTGTAGGCAAAGCCAGAGCCCTCCACAGGCTACATACCCTCCCCTGCCGCCTGCTCCTGTTAATGGCCTTTCTCAGCAGTCCTCAATAATAAAAATGGATTTGCATAATTTCTGTGATGAATATTCTGCTGAGGAATGAGCACCATCGTATTCCAAAGTTGATCCACAGCAGCGAGGGCTGGGCACAACTTTCCTAGTGGTGACACTTGATCTTGCGTCTGGAGCTTCAGGTTACTGTCATTCAAAACAAGATGAGCTGACATTAGGAAGAACTATCTATCTGGACTGAAAATGATGCCAGGGTATGCCAATGTCTCCACCTTCTGAAAGACCCCTCCTACCACTGCCCTTCTCTTTTCTCCTACACAGTCTGCTTCCTGCATCCCGAACTGTGGCAGTAACTGGGGAACAGGGGGTCCCTCCCTTTAGCTTAGTCCTCATTCCACCACAGTCAGAGCAAGTGTACACTGAGCACTGTATCTGTGGGATACTCTTGGTTATAAATATTCTTGGTTGCAAAAATCAAATTGAACATCAAGAACATTTATTATATCATGTAATGGGGAATCCAGAGAGAGAGTGGGCTTCAGAGCTGTTTGATCCAGCAGCTCAGCACTTGTATCAAGGACTCGGGTTTTTTACATCTCTCAGCTCTGCTGTTCAGCATGTTGGCTTCATTCTGAGGCTGGTTTTCCTCTAGGATGTAGCACAGCTGCTGGTGGCATTTGGGGCCACCTCCTTCCTTCCAGCAGGAGAGAAGTGCTTCCAGCAGCCCTCCAGGGAGTAGGGAGGAAACTTCTGAAAAGCCCCAGCAAACCTCTCCTCATACCCTGTGTCCTTTCAGAACCAATCATTGGTGAAAATGTTGGGCTCACTCATTGGCTGAGACTAATCAGAGCTGGAGTTGGGGGTGGGATCGCCTCGCCTTGAGTCACAGGGGCTGTGTGTGAAGAGAGGGCACCTGGAGGGAAACTGGGTTCTTTTAGGAAAGAGCCAAGGAGCAAGAGATGTTGGCAACTACCAGGGTCCACCATGAGCTCTGACTGGGATGGGCACTACAGGAGCTGCAGGAAAAGAGAGTTGTGAGTTTTTAAAAAACATTTTATTGTGGAAATTTTCAAATACATAGAAAGTAGACAAGATAGTGTAACAAACCCCCATGTACACATTGCCAAGACTTAACAATGATCAACTCAGGGCCATTTTCTTCTGTTTTCCTACTGCCTTATGCTCCGATTCATTACAAAGCAAGTCCTGGACATCATATCATTTCATCCAAAATTCTTTCAGCATGTATCTTTGAAAGACAAGGGCACTTTTAAAAACCAAACCATATCATCCTTATCTCACCTAAAAAAAATAATTAATTAACAGTATTCCTTAACATCATCAAATTATCTTATCAGTGTTCAAATTTCCCATTGTCTTATATGTGAAAAAATTCTTTTTGCAATTTGTTCAAAGGTAAGTTCTCCAAGATTATCCAACCTTCTTATCTTACAAGACAAGGAGACTGAGATATGGAGAGATTAAGTAACTTACCCCAGGGCCTTCAGATTTCATTTTATTTATTGATAATTCAATCCTGCCTCTTTTCATGATGTATTTCAGGCAGGTGATTACATAGTGGAAGACCCAACAATTCATTCATTCATTCAGCAAATATTGGTTGAGCATCAGCTATGTGCAAGGCACTTAATGAGGCCAGTTGCAATCAACAGTGCTCAGATCTGTCATCAGAGGACCTGAGCCTTGACTGCTAGGCTTCCACCCATGACATTAGGCGAGTCTCCCTGTCCATCTGTCATGGCGGCTGATTAGGGAGTCACCTTGGGAGACTCTTATAAATATTCACACATATTATTCTAGTGGACAGTTGTTCTTTTGGGCTGCCCACATTGAACATTCTTCCTATTTTAGAGGAATCCTAAAATAGGGAAAAGAGCTCCACTTTCTACTACAGAAACAAAATTTATGGATCATCTTTTCCCCACCTCCAG